AACCTTGTTTTCTCCTGTCTCACTGAGCTTTGACCATCTGGCCTTCTCTGTTCCATAGACAGGCCAACACTGTTCCTCCCTCAGGACTTCCATATTTCCGGCTCCTTCTTGGATAATGCTTCCCACTTGTATTCACCCAGGAGACTCCACTCATTACTCAGAAGTCGCTCAGATGTTCAATGTATGCCTCCTTCACTCCATCCCCATTCACTTGGTTCGTTCTTCCTCTCACTTTTTTCACACCATGGGATAACCATTTTATTTATTTACTCATTAGTCATTTGTCTCCTCTCTAGAATATAAACTCCATGAGAGCAAGGCCTTGTCTCTTGTGTTTACTGCGACATTTTCAGCACCCAGCACATTTGGTTAGCACTGAGTAGGTGTCCAGTAAATATTTTTTGAACGATCCAATGAAGGGCTTGTATAGGTAAGAAAGAAGCTGATAGTTTCAGTTAGGTTTCCTTTTGGGGGGTTGGGTTCATTCCTTTACCATTTGTACTTTTGCCCTTCATTTATGAAGTGCTTACTATGTGCTGGGTTCTGAGCCAGGCACTTCCGGAGTGTTTTCTCATAAAGTCTCCAGAAATTCCTCCACGAGAGGCACCATTACTCCCGTTTTCCAGCTGAGGAACATGAGGAGCTCTCTGAGGTGAACCACTTGCCGGCACCCTCAGGGTCACAAAGCCTGCATGGACTCAGGCCTGACTTCAGTCCCCATACTCTTGTCTCCAAGCTCCCCCCCCCCCAACCATTTAAAGAAAGGAAACTGAGGCCCAACTGGGTTCAAGGACTTGCCCAGCACACAAAGCAAGTAAGCAGAAGTGCCTGGGCAGGAGTTCTGATCTTCCTCTTTCTAGTATGGCAGCATGTCTCCCTTTTGCTCAGGGACATCTTCTCCTGACTAAGAGGAAGTCTTCTCTGACCAAGGTGTCCCTACTCCAGTAACGCCTAGTAACTCACACTGGCATTGTTTTTCTTTTCCCATTCAAATTATCCTGTGCTTCTTAGTTTGTTCTGTTATAGTCCTCTGTCTGACAGATACATAATATTCCTTAGCTCTCAGAGTAGATTCTAAGCTCCTTCAAATTACCCACAACAGTAGCTGCCACTTGCTGAGCGCTCTGCTGAGCATTTGATGCATTTCGCTCCCTGTATTAGTTATCTATTGCCGCATAACAAATCATCCCAAAACTGAGCAGCGGAAAACGAAAAGCTCTCACTATCTCACATCATCTTTGAGGGTTAGAAACTCAAGAGTGGCTTAGCTGGGTGGGTCTGGCCCCTCTGAGGTTGTAGTCAAGGTGTCAGCTGACTGAACTGGCCTGATTGGGGCTGCAGGGTCTGTTTCCAAGCTTACGCATGTGCTGTTGGAAGGTCAGCCTCGCTGGCTGTTGGCCAGAGGCTTCCTTCCGTTCCCTGCCCCACGGGACTCCCTCTACTGCTGCTCACAACATGGCAGTTTGAGTTCACCACAGCAAGTGATATGAAAGAGAGGGAGGGAGGCAGAGGGAAGCCTCAGTCTTCTATAATCTAATCTTAGAAGAGATATACCATCAGTTCTGCCATATGCTATTGGTCATGCCGAGCAGGGCGGTACAGTGTGGGAGGAGACTGCACCGGGTGTGAACGCCAGGAGGCAGGAATCACCGGGGACCATCTTGGATGCTGGATACAACTCTGTTTACTCCTTACAGTAATCCTATGAAGACAGATGAGGTTGAGTCACTGGCAAGAGGTTACGCAGCTTGTAAGAAGCCGAGCTTGGATTCAGACCCAAAGTTATCACACAAACACACTATACATCCTGTCTGGCACTCAGATGGCTCATTGGAAAAGTCTCAAGTGGCTACAATGTTGCAGACACTATGCTGAGTATGTGCGGCAGCTGGGGGCAAGGCAGGAAGGTCCATTGTATTACAAACTTTGCATTTTGGTGAGTGAGACAGATGATAAGCTGTGAAGTAATTGAAATAATATGCAAGTAACCTCAAATGACGATACTGGTAGATCTAGTCTGCCCTCACCCACCTGCGAGAACTCAGGGCTTGAAGTCCACGCTGGATGAAGGGATGATCGTGTGGGGGCGATCAGAAAACCCACTTCATCTGCTCAGAACACCTTTCCCATGGTCACAGACTGAATGCAAGTTTAATTCTAGCTCTGCCTTTCATTTGCTGTGTTATGTTAATCAAGGAACTTCACCTCTCTGAGCTGCAGTTTCCCATCTGTAAATCATCATCAGGTTTGCCTTCAGCTAGAAAATGCGTTAATGTAAAGGGTAGTAAGTATGGTGGGTGGAGCCCCAAGTTGGGATGGGGGCCCTGGCTCTGTACCCTCTGCTCCAGTGTGCTAGTTTTTTGCGGGGACACCCTCCTCCTCTCTGAGCCTCAATTTTAAAGTAAGGAAATTAAGTCAACTCTAAATCCATCTTTGCTCCAATGTCCTGAGACGGGAAATCCATCAGTCAGTTAGTGACGGGGGAGTGGAGTGAGTTGCCTGGGAGTTAGCTAAGAGCTACAGAGCCAGAAAGCCTGGAAAGCCCCGCCCCTGCCAATTCTCCTCAGTTTCCTGGTCTGTAAAATGGGACTAATGATACTTCCCACCAGAATTGGCTTCCTGTGGGCACTGTACCAAATCACCACAAACTGTGTGGCTGAAGACGATGAAAATATATTCTCTGTCAGTTCCAGAGGGCAGAGGTCTGAAGTCATGGTGCTATGGGGGTCCTGCTCCCTCCAGGGGCTCCCTTGCTTCCTTCCGGCTTCTGGAGGTTCCAGCATTGACTGACTCATGGCCACATGGCTGAAATCTCTGCTGTGCATTCACATGGCCTTCTCATCTGTGTCAGTCCTCTCTGTGTCTCTATCTTATGAGGACATCCGTGACCATTCAGATCTACCTTGATAATCCAGCTAGTCTGTGTAATGCAAGGATATTAATTTAATCACATCCGCCAAAACCTTACCATCGAAGGTGACATTCACAGGTTTTGGGGGTCAGGACAGAAACATATCTTGGGAAGCCATTATCAGCCTACCACACTACCTCATAGGTTTGCTATAAGGACTAAGTAAAAACAGGTTAAGGGTTTTGATCTTGCCTGGATTACAGAACATACTTTTTTAAAGAATAAAAGTGGTAGGGAATTAGCTGGGGATGGGAAGAACTAGGAGTGATTCCGTGCCCCAGATCCCTCCTGTCATCTGGTAAGAAGGTCAGCCATTCTTTCCAGTGCTCATCCCCGAGTCTCTGCGGATGGACAGACCCAGCCCCGAGTACCCGTAAATGGCTCCCAAATGACCCCGTGACCAGGTGCCCTCCTGTCTGACCCTGAGTGTTCCGAGACAAGCAGGGGCGTCCTCTGAGCTTGTATTAATATTTATAGCACTTCACTCACATGGAAAATTGATTTTTCTTCTTAAGCACAAAATGTAGCCAGTTTTATAACCTTTCTGCAGCTTGACAAAGGCCATTTATAACCCACTTTCTCAGTCACCCTCCCTGGCACTAGTCTTAAATGTCTCGAAGAACTCTCATGCATTTGTAATTATGAATTCTTCTTAGGCAAAATTTGATTTCCAGGAGGGCTGACCTTTTGTTGTTGTTGTTGTTGTTGTTATGGTAGTCTTTGTAAATTGATTTTTGTGTGTGTGTTTGTTATTGATGTTCAGGATGGTGACTTGGGGAAGGGACTGGGGGCGGGGGGTGTGTGTATCATGGGGCCATTTTAATCAGTGATGTCCAGTGATGGATGAGGAGGGCTGAGCTCTGGGTGTTCATCTCTGTGGACAGGAAATGCCAGCAGGGTGACTGAAATTAAAACCTTGTACCTTGTTTTCAGTCCCGGATGCAGGAGAGTTGGTCCTGCTTCTCTGTCTGTCAGACAGGAAAAGATGAGCTCAGCTCATCAAATGATGGAAAAGAAATAGCCAGTTGTCCCTACGGAATAGGATCTTCCCTTTATGGAGAACTTAGCAGATGCCAGGCACACTGATAAGAGCATTTGGCTGAGGTCACTCAAGATTGGAGTCATTGGGGTTTTTTAGGGACCGGAGGGCTGCTGGTTTGGTGACCTGGAGAGAGGTGCTCATGGCCAGGCAGAGGATCTGAGGCACCTGTGGAGGACCTTGCCTATCATCTTAAGGAGATTCAAGGTGTTGCTATTGTTGTGGAAAATGCATTCATTTATTTAAGCTGGGGAGGGATGATTTAGAAATAGCACTCTGTTGGCCATCAGGAGGATGGTGTGGAAGAGACCAGACTGGAGTTTACGGGCTCCTGCTGTGGGCATGCAGGAGTCCCATTCAGGAGTCTGGAGACAGGGATGGAAACAAAGAGACAAATTCAAGACAGGAAGGAAGAGAACTCACGTGTGACAAGTACCGAATTGTGTGTGGAATTCTGAAGTAAGGTGCACACTCCCAGGATCCAATTTAAGTTTGACAACAAATCCACAGGGGTAGGTGCCATGCCCATTTAACAGATGAAGAGACTGAGGCTCAGAGATGGTGAATAACTTGCCCCAGATCACAGAGGGAGAAGAAGAAGAGCTGGAATGTAAATTCATAGCAGTAGGAACTCTTTAAAATATATCTGGCTGCCGGCCAGAGTGATTTTTCATCAATGGCAGACCCTATTGGACCATAATACATGCAATAAAGATGATGGTTCCAGCATTGTCAATAGGAAGAGCAGCTAACACACTTGCTGAACATTTGCCGTGTGGGCTGCAGTGTTCTGAGCACTTTGCTGACGGTACCTCCTTGTATTCTCACACATCTACCGGGCAGATACTGACAAAAGTCCCATTTCGCGGGCGGGCACACTGAGGGTCAGAGAGGCCACAGAGCTCTGAATTGGCCAAACAGGACTTTGATGGAAACTGTCTCTGTGGTCCCTGCAGCATGCCGCTTTTCAGAAGGTGGGAGGAGAGGGCTTGAGGGGACCCACCACCTCCTGGGCCATGACCGCCCTGTTGCTCTCTCTCCCCCGAGCAGTGCCCCGAGGAGCTGAGGCCCATGAAGGACGGCTCCGGATGCTACGACCACTCCAAAGGTATCGACTGCTCGGACGGCTTCAACGGGGGCTGTGAGCAGCTGTGCCTGCAGCAGACGCTGCCTTTGCCCTATGACGCCACCTCCAGCACCATCTTCATGTTCTGCGGGTGAGTGTTTGTGCCCGAGGCCCAGCCACTCCCTGCACAGCGGCGGCCGGGAGATGTGGGGAAAGGTCAGGAGCTGCAGGCAGGCCAAGGCGGGCCTGACCTTCAACGAAATGCCTTTCTCTGTCTGCTCTTTCAGCCCAGGAAGCAAAAGGCAACAGGATAACCTTCTATTGGGTATTGGGAAGAAGAAAAGAAGAAGTAAAATAAATAATTGATTAATGGTTATAATAAATGGAATCCATGCTCAGGCTGTGTCCTAGGGTCAGGACAGTTTTGTGCTGAAGCCCCCTGCCCCTTCTGCATACCCCCTACAGCCCCGGTCAGTGTAGTTTGGAGACCAGACCAGGCACCCTTTTAAAGGTGTCATTGAAGAACCAGCAGGTGTGCGTTAAGGACACAGGCTTAGGCCAGGCTTTCAACCCTGTTTCTTTCTTTCTTTTTTTTTTTAAAGATTTTATTTATTTGTTTGAGAGAGAGAGAAACCACATGAGAGGGGGGAGGGTCAGAGGGTGAAGCAGACTCCCCGCTAAGCAGGGAGCCCGATGCGGGACTCGATCCAGGGACTCCAGGATCATGACCTGAGCCGAAGGCAGTCGCTCAACCAACTGAGCCACCCAGGCGCCCTCAACCCTGTTTCTGCAGGAATTTAGCAGCGCCCATTCAGGGATGGCCTCTAAAGCCCTATCTGTAAGGCGAACCAAGTGGGGGCAGGGAGGCAGGAAGGAGGCCATGCAGCCCTACAATGGCATTTTAAAATTCATCTGAGACTGAAAGAAGGGGCACACTGGGACCAGCTTGCTGAGTGGCCTGGGACAAGTCGCTTTTCCTCTCTGGGTGCTGCCTGTAAAATGAGAGCTTTGGGCAAGGATGCCCACCATTCTTTCCAGTTTTCCTTGTTTTCCGTGCAGAGGACCTCAGTGGGAGTTACCTCTCTCCGGAATGGCATCCCACGGAGGGCTTGGTCCTCAGCAGTCACTCAGGGGAATGGATGCACTCTTTCCTCTCTGCCTCGCTCTCCTCCTGGTGACATCTCCATTTTTAAAAATGTGCTCATCCTTTGACATTCTGTGACAGACAAATAATCCCGTGCTTGTGCAAGAATGTCAGTCATTGAAATACGCTCTGTGCTTTACTGAGATAGAAAAACAGAATGAGATTTAACAAGAACCTTTTCAGTCCTACGTCTTATGCAAAAGAGGGTGGGGGAGGATGTATGCGTTTAATCCCAGTTTGAAAGAAAATGAATTTTACCTGCAGGGTTCTAGTCCAGGGCTCCGGTGTTCCTTCTGGGACATATTTCAGGGTCTCCCCCTCTACCCCAGTTACACTGGGGCTGCAGGTGCCTTTGAGCAGGTGTTGGAGCAGCTTGCTAGAGGCCCTAGATATGTATCAGTAAAATAAATAAGAAATAAATTAGTGTATGCAGACCTGAATTTATAGCTGACTCTCCTCAGCTTAAGTTACTACAGGGCAGTGTTGAGTAAATTATGCATGGGCTTAGATCTGAGGCTTGAATACAGAATCAGCTGTGTTCTTATCATTATTTTTCTCCCTGCGTACTTGGTATGTGTGTGGGGGGGTGGTCCTTCTGTTGCAAATAACAACAGTAACAGCAGCAGGGATGACACTAGTGGACTTGGACACAGAAATGGTCAGCACCGTCCGTCTGTAGCACACTGCAGCGGTCAAGGGGAGGCGGCAGACGTTAGCTCTCATCGCAGCGCTACCAATATCTCTCTCGTGGACATTGGGCAAGCCTCTGAGGACCCCTGCTCTTCAGTTTCTTCCTCTCTAAACTATTAATAAAATTTACTTCAATACAAAGATGGTTGGGAAGAATGCAACATATTTACTGTTTATTACCCCATTAAGCTTAAGTCACGTGCCCAAGGTCACGTGGCTAGTAATGTAGCTCACTCCCTTCTTCCTGTGTGACCTTGAGCAAGTCACTTAACATCTCTGTGCCTCCCTTTCCTCATCTGTAAAATGGGGATGGTAATTGTTATCTCTTTATGGAATTGTTGTGAGGACTAAAATGCATCACATCACAACTTATATGAATATCTGTAAAGTGCTTCTGAACAGCGCTTTTTGAAGTACAGTTGAAATACAATATAATATTAGTTTCAGATGTACAACATGGGGATTCGACATTTATATACATTATGAAATGCTCACCACAGTAGGTGCAGTTACCATCTGTCATCATACAAAGTTATTATACTGTTATTGACTATATTTGCTATGTCATGCTTTGCAACCCCATGACTTATTTATCACTGGAAGTTTTTTCCCCTCAATCCCCGATCCCCTTCTCCTATTTCACCTGGCCCTCCACCTCCCCTCCCCTCCGGCAACCACCAGTTTGTTCTCTGTATTTATGACTCTGTTTCTGTTTCGTTTTGTTTGTTTTGATTTTTAGATTCCACAGATAAGGGAAATCATTTGGTATTTTTCTTTCTCTGTCTGACTACTTTCACCAAGCATAAGACACTCTAGATCCATCCATGTTGCTGCAAATGGCAGGATTTCTTTTTTTTTTTTGGATGGCAGAGTAATATCCCATTGTGTATATATATCACATCTTCTTTATCCATTTGTCTGTGGATTGACACGGGGTTGCTTCTGTATCTTGGCTATTGTAAATAGTGCTGCAACAAACATCAGGGTGCATGTATCTTTTCAAATTAGTGTTTTCATTTCCTTCAGGTACTATCCAGAAGTAGAATTCCTGGATCTTAGGGTGCATCCTGTTTTCCACAGTGGCTGCACCAATTTACATTCCCACCAAGAGTGCACCGAAGTTCCCTTTCCTCTTCTTCCTTGTCAACACCTGCTCTTTCTGTCTTTTTGATACTAGCCATTCTCACAGGTTTGAGGGGATATCTAATTGTGGTTTTGATTTGCATTGATTTAGTGATGTTTAATGTCTTTTCCTGTGTCTGTTGGTCCCTTACCAGCGTCTTCTTAGGGAATATGTCTGTTCAGGTCCCCTGGCCATTTTTTAATCGGATTGTTTGTTGGTTTTTTTTGGGTGTAGATATATCCAGTAAGGGGTTAATATCCAAAAGATATGAAGAATTCTGGAAGTTGTAAATAGGACAGAATGGGTGGGAGTTTGCTGTGAGCTCTTGAAGCCCATCCAAATGCTGGTAAACAGGACAAAAAAGAAAATGAAATCCAGGTCTCCTAACACCAACTGCAGTGTCAATGCGTTTTGGAAATTGCCTATTAAGGATGCAAATGAGAAGTTACCCGTACTTGTTAGAAGCACTATAAACAAAACAATGAAAGCCATTAGCAGGTACTTGTGAGAAAGTTGGTGGAGAGAAGTGGCAAGCCTTGAATTAAGCGAGGAAAACAAACCTTTGCTCAAGGAGACCTTCGGAACTTGCTCAGAGCTCTGTGACCTCTCTGAATTTCCTGAGTAGGGGCATGTGTAATAAACCTCTCCGCAGCCAGGACAGTCCCAGCAGCCAGCTTTTACAAAGTGCCTTCTTCGGGTCGGGACTGTGCAAAGTGCTTTGATTACAATAGGCTATTTAATTCTCATAACAACTCTACAAGGGAGGCACTATGACGATCCCCAGTTACCATCAAGAAAACCAGGCACATGATGGCTCTGTGACTTGCCCAAGGTCACACAGCTGGTAAGTGGAGGCTATAGGGTTTCTACCCAGGCTGTGTGGCTCTAGTCTGTGTCACTCCGGGCCTCTGGCCACTTCTAGTGCTATGTGGTCTTAAGCAAGTCACTAAACTTCTCTGAGCCTTTCCTTTTCAAGTGGACTCAGATGGGATTGTGAGGATGAGTGAAATAATGCATGCATGGGGCTAGGGCATGTAAGCACCCAGGAAATGGGAGTTAAAGCTAGTCGAAGAGGTATAAAGCCATCTAATTTCATCATTCAATGACTGTACTGTAGGTCTTGGTTACCATCTCTAGCACCTGCATCAGTGCCTGGCACATAGTAGGTGCTCAAGTAATCATTGTTAAATGATGTTCCTCAATTAACGTGGCTAAAGAAGTTGTTCCTGGTCTAGTTTCTCCAGCTGTGATTCCAGCTTTCTCCCTTCTCCTGAATTAGGGCCTGTGGCTTCAGCTTCTGGAATTTTCACAATGTTGTTCCTTTCGCCTCTCCTCTCCTCCTCCCTGGTACCATCAAGCCCTGCCACCTTGCTTGTGGCCATTTAGCTTAGACAGCTCTGTTTCATCCTCCAGACTCAGTGTAGATAGAACCTTCTCCAACAAGTCTTCTCTGAGCCCCGTGGGGTGCAGGAGTGAGGTGCGCAGTTACCCCGGAGCTGGATAGTAGAATACTATCCTCACCCTTTCAAGTGGACGCTACTTAAATATTGGCTCGGTATTTATCAAGGGGGGTTAGGGCATGCGAAGAAAGGACTTTCTTTTCTTGTTTTATTTTGGTTTGTATTTTTTATTTCTACCCACAAGACCCTCTTCCAAGGGAGAGGCCCATTTGCATGTAGCCTTGAATTCCAGTTTATCCTGGTGACATCTGGACGCCTCTTGCAGACTGGACCTGTAGCTAGCTGCCCTGATCTTCAGCCCCTAGTCAGGCCAAGGTCTGCACTACTGAGTAAAGTACCTTTCTCTGGGGTCACACAGCTAGCACCACCCCCGCCCCCGCTGCCCCGAGCTTCTCTCTGTGGTCACCCTATTGCTCTTTTGACTTACCTGCTTTCCTGGTGTGGTCCTCATCACACCGTGAGAGCCTCATGGCCAGGGACTAGGTCATAGTCACCTGTGGATCCCCTTTGTCACTCCCCACTATTTGGCCCCAGAACTTCTTTAAAACTGTATTTGTTGAATTAAGGAATTCATCTACCTAGGATTTCTTGTACCTACTCTGTGCCTGGTCTTTTGTGGGATGCTGAGAATGCAAAGAGGGTTGAGTACAAGTCTTTGCCCACCCAGGACAGAGGGGACGCTGAAGGGGACACTGAGGGCAGGCGGCTGAGCCTTACTTGGTCCCAACTGATGT